TCTTTCTGAAGATGGTCAGGGAACATTGCATACATGCTCCCAAACATCCCACCATGTCCCGTATTTTTCTTGTCTTTTGCTCTGGCTGCCTGTTGGGATCATTTGCCAATTCCTCTGATGTCTAAGGGTCTGTCACTGCTTCTTGGGCCACTAAGGTCGAGCTGCTCCTGGAGATGTCTGAGCCTCAGGCTAGATGAGGACACTTTGTCTCACCTCTCTACAATGACTGCAGGTACCACTGTGTTCTGCATAGTCCCCACATGCAACTCAAAGGTGCTGCAACCAGAGAGAACCCACCTCTTGTTACAGGGATCCTAAGTTGGTTCCTTTTACTCCCCTCAAACATTATACATGTTCAAGTGTAGTGGGCTGAAAAGAATCTTCATCTTATATTCACAACCACTCTTTCTATCTCCAGTTTTGGGCTTTGTCATTGGGCCAAGCATGGGTGCTGTTACTCTCACCTAAAGTGGCAAGTTCTTTCTTTCCCGGGAGGCATCTTGGTTCCTTCATATGGCCAGTCTCTTGATGTTGCCAGTCTGTCATCCTGCCCAGAAGTGCCTACTCCCTAGAGTGAATATAGACACCAGCTAACCTCATTTCTATTTGAGAGTTTTGTTTTCCAAATACCAGGAGTCACACGTTCAGAATTCAAGTTGGGCCGGGTGCGGTGGTGCACACTTATAATCCCAGCAGCTCAGGAGGCTGAGGCAGGAGGATCTAGAGTTCAAAGCCAGCTTCAGTAAAAGTGAGGTACTAAGCAACTCAGTGAGGCCCTGTTTCTAAATAAAATACAAAATAGGGATGGGGATGTGGCTTAGTGGTCAAGTACCCCTGGGTTCAATCCCCAGTACCAAAAAAAAAAGAATTCAAGTTGGAATTGTGAGGATGATCATGGTGGTGATGGTGGTGAACCTCTCCCATGTATCAGACCCCATACTAAGCACTTCAGATATACTATCTTACTTAATTCTTTCAACAACTGTATGTGTTATGTACTATTACTATCCTCACTTTGCAGAGGAGAAAATTGTGGCTTAGGAAAATGGAATAGGTCCATGGTCACACGGCTGGCAAAGTGCAGAGCCAGTCCTGGAGCCTGCTCAGCTCCTCCTCTACGGCTTCAACTGGGCATTGAGCCAGCCTAGGCCAGGCCTCCCAACTTCCCTGGGCTTCTTCCAGCGCTGCTTTCATCCTGTCTCCACCCCTTTCCCCAGGGCAGCCTCTACAGGTGGGTTGCCAACCTTATCCGAAGGCCTCCAAGTTGATGGAAACCTCTAGGCTTGCACCCTCTGCGCTCTCCCCTGGGCTTCCCGAAGGGGCAGGATGGGAGGTGTTGTCAGCAGTAGATTCTCCTCCAGGAGCCAACCCCAGACCTCCCCAGCCTGTGGTGAAGCAATCGCCGTCCTCACTCTAACCCCTTCCTCACGTTCATTCTGGAGCCTGTTCCCAGGAAGGCCACCAGCATCCTGCCTTACATGGTTAAAATTTTGCCTCATCTTGGTGGGTGTTTTAACTGAATAAAGAATTCAATTCTGGGCTTTAAATGCCATAGAAAAAGAACAAGTTACTGTCTTTTCAGAATGCCCATTGTGATTTGTCCTTGGAGTCCCCCTCCTCCCCAATGATCCTTTTCCCACTTGAACTGACAGACTGAACTGCCAGATAAATACAGCTGCAAAGTGAGTAGTGTGGATATGATTTCTTTCCCTCATTCATTGCCCTTTCAGCTTTACCGAGTCAAAAATGAAAACTGTTTTACTGTGTCTACATCAGCACAAGTCAAGGGCTTCAAAGGTATTTGAAAGTGAAACACAAAGAGTGAATGATCCCGTTTGACTCCACCATTTGTATTATTAACCAAGCATTTGCCATTGTTTCCTGCAGAGTGGTGGATCCGCCATTAAGTATTATGTGCCTAAGTTTCCCCATATGTAATATGCAGGGATTGAATCCAAGGTCTCAGAGGTCCCTGAAAGTTCTTGGGGTCTTTGTTGTATAGTCACAAAAACATCATTTTAAGTCCAATAATTGAAGGGGTGACAATGTGACTAAAAACACCCCCCATAAAATATTCACCATGCAATTACTTTATGGAACAAGTTTCCACTGTGCACTTGCAGCAGGGTTCAATTTACCAAAAAGTCTGATTTGTGGCCAACTTTACACTTTTACTGTTTAAAGTGAGGTTTGCCCATAGGTAATGATGTCTAAAATCACTATCATATATTCTTTCCTCCACAGAAACTTTGACAATGGAAAAAGTAGTAGAACCCATTTTTAAATCATGACTTCTTTTGGGATGAGGATTTTCTTCTATTTCTCCATTAAAAAAAAAAACAAAAACAAAAAAACATGTTTACAACCTCCCACGGAGGGTGGGGAGGGGACTGGCTCAGTGATAAAAATCTACTTTTGAAACATATATCAGCTATCAATACTCTTCCTAGAACTCTGCAGAGGCTTCCCATTGCTTGAAGATCATGGGCGGCCTTTGCATGTGCCATGTCCACCAACTGAAGTGTTCTCATCACCCCCTTTCATTCCTCCTTAGCTGGGAACTTAGTTCAATCATTGCTTCTTTTTTTAAAATTAATTAATTTATTTATTCTAATTGGATCTATATGACAGCAGAATGCATTTTGAGTCATTGTATACAATTGCAGCACAACTTTTCCTTTCTCTAGTTGTATAATATGTAGCATCGAACCATGTGTGCAGTCTCACATGTTCTAGGGTAATGATGTCCATCTCATTCCACCATCTTTCCTGTCCTCATGTCTCCTCCTCTTGGCCCAATCACTGTTCCTCCATTTTCCCCATGCCCACCCCCCATTATCCCATTATGGATCAGCATCCACTTATCAGAGAGAACATTTGGGACTGGCTTACTTTGCTTAGCATGATATTCTCCAGCTCCTTCCATTTACTTGCAAATGCCATAATTTCATTCTCTTTTAATACTGAGTAATATTCCAATGTATATATTTACCACAGTTTCTTTATCCATTCATCTCTTGAGCAAAAGAAACAATCAATGAGGTGAAGAGAGAGCCTACATTTTGGGAGCATATTTTTGCCACATACTCTTCAGATAGAGCATTAATCTCCAAATATATAAAAAACTTAGAAAGTTAACACCAAAAAAAAAAAACCCCAATTGATAAATGGGTTAAGAAGCTGAACAGACACTTCTCAGAAGAAGATATACAATTGATCAACAAATATATGAAAAAAATGTTCAACATCTCTAGTAATTATAGAAGTGCTAATCAAAACTACTCTAAGATTTCATCTCACTCCAGTCAGAATGGCAGTTATCAAGAACACAAACAATAACAAGTGTTGGTGAGGATGTGGGGAGAAGACACACCCATTGCTGGTGGGTCTGCAAATTGGTGCAACCACTCTGGAAAACAGTATGAAGATTCCTTAGAAAACTTGGAATGGAACCACCATTTGCCCCAGCTATCCCACTCCTCGGTCTATATCCAAAGGACTTAAAAAACAGCATATTATAGTAATGCAGCCACATCAATGTTTATAAGCAGCTCAATTTACAAGAACTAAAGTGTGGAACCAATCATTGCTTCTTTGGGGGATGATCCTCACTTCCTTAACTAGTCAAATCTCTTTATTATAACTCAGAGGTGCAGTTTCAATGGATTTGGAAGAGCAGGTGGTTACCAGGAATAGACTGAGGTGCTACTGTTGCATTCCCAGGCCTGCTGGTCGCCTACTGTCTGTGTGCACAGTTCTCTCCAGGCCCTGGGTTCCCAGCAATGTCTCTACCTTCATGGAGCTTTCAGACCTCTGGGGTAAAGGGACAGTGGTCAGATAGAGAATGAACAGGCCTGCCACTGCCCAGCCCTCAGAGCATATAGAGAGGAAAAGGAGGGATTGGAGGTGGAGGGGAAGGGTAGAATAGCAACACATCATGCTCTGATAGGATGAGCTTATTCCATAATCACACATTTTCTAAAACAGTCCTTTTAATAAGTTCAGTCTAACAAGCAGGAGGAGAAAGGCAGTGACCTGATGTCTGCCTTCAGCAAGTAAGAGGACCAGGGACGGTTTTTGTTCTCTTTTAACACCTTAAGGGTCTTCCACCCTCTTAGACTAGACTATCCCACCCTTGGCCAGAGCTTTTTAATTTTTCCTCCTTTAAATGGATTTCCATTTTCAAAGGTGCATCTTTCTTGCCGTGATGTACACCAGTAACACAGCCCACCATTTTCATAATAATTATGGGGTGTCTGTCCTACCACCCACATTTGCAGACAGGGGAATCGATTCAACTGTTTCCTTATCTGTAGAATCAGCGAAATCCCAGCAGAACTGGCATCTCTGAGCCAGATCTCCCGGTTCTTAGTCCAGCGTTTCCCCCGTTTCCCCCACGATATCACAGCCTCCTGGGCTGAGCCAGGCCTTTTTCAAGCCCCAGGAAGCCAAGGTTGGCTGCCTCCTGCTGGCAGGGAGTTCCTTCCAGGCCTCTGATGCTCCTGCCAAAGAAGGGAGGGTGCGAGAAGTGAGGAGGGTGGATTATACGCGGAGGCAGGCTATGCTTCTATTTCCCTCCCTTATCGTGGAAAGAGGGAATGGATTACGCCTGGGGGGTAGGGAGGAATTATGAAAATCAATAATTCATGACAGTTGATCCGTGTCAGAAAAGTATTTACCCACCTTCATCCCCATGAAAGTCACATTCTCCATGTGTTCAAATTTGTCTTTCAACAGTGCCACCAACCAGGTGGACTCAGCAAGAAATATCAAGGTTTTAGCCGAATGCAGCGGAGAGTTTCATTTAACTTCATTTTTTTTTTCCAGCCAGGGCTGGCTCTGAAGCTAGTTTTTCTTACTAGGTTGTTTGCTACATGAAAAGCCAATTCCCAGAGGTTCCCGAGATTGCCGACATCCTATGCAAGATGACTGCTCCCACCCACCCGCCCACCCACCCACTAATAAGACATAATGCCGTCCTATTTTTGGTAACAATTAAAGGGCCTCCCGGTGAAAGCAGAAAGCTGTTTATTTTCTGTTACATCACTTCGCTTTGCCTTCGAAGGCTGGTCTGTGCTCAGTGTTTGCTGGTGATGCAAGTCGGCTCTCTTCCTCCAGCAGTTGGATCGCTCCCATCTCACAGCACCTCTCAGGTCTCTTCCCCCAGCAGTGCACTGCTCGAGCCAGGAGCAGCTCAGGAATCAGCCGCAGGTCCCTGTTTTGAAAAGCAGAGATACAGAGGCAGAGGAAAAGGGTGGACTCCTATGTGACCTGTTCTTAGAGCAAGACAATCACCAGCTGAATTCCAGAAGCCCTGTTCATGTGTGGGGATATTTTTTCGACTGCATGGAATCAGAAAGAAGCAAAAGGATGGGAAATGCCTGCATCCCCCTGAAAAGAATTGCTTATTGCCTATGTCTCTTATCTGCGCTTTTGCTGACTGAGGGGAAGAAACCAGCGAAGCCAAAATGCCCTGCTGTGTGCACTTGTACCAAAGATAACGCTTTATGTGAGAATGCCAGATCCATTCCACGCACCGTTCCTCCTGATGTTATCTCATTGTAAGGCCCGTAAGCATTTTGATATCTAATTTACGATTTTAAAATTCCAGCCAGTATATTTGGGTTTTTGTCTGTATTGGTAGGAGGGCATGGAGAGAGAGGTTTCTCTTGCTTGCTTGGCCATTTGACAGTGCTAACATTTTGCTGCATTTCAAATTTTTGATTTTTATTAGCTGCTACTGGACATGCTTAGAGCTGTTCCCCCCACCTCCCAGCCCTGAATATTAATATGAGAAACCTGTAGCAGATTCATCTCTCTTACTTCAGCTGGGAAGGAACACAATCATACTTCATAAAATAGTGTTAAAATAGTGCCTGTTATGTTAAACTGGATTAACATAAGGTTTGTTCTGTGTGTGTATGTGTGTGTCTGTGTCTTTGTGTGTCTGTTTGTTTTTTGTGTTTTCTTTCAGATCCTTTGTGAGATCTGGTTTTACTGAAATCTCAGAAGGGAGTTTTTTATTCACACCATCGCTGCAGCTCTTGTGAGAAATATTTATATCATGACTATTTTTAATATGGCATATATTTGGATAAGCCTTCTAGTAAAATGAGTTCGATATTAATTTTGTTGCATGTGATGATATTTTTGAAAAGAAAGAGAATATCAGTAAAGTGAGGGGTAGATGGGTTTGTTTGCAACTTCACACCAATAGTGCAGGTTGATTCTTGCAATGGTAAATTTGCTAACCTGTAATACTGTGTGCTTTAATGTCTATTTATGAAGTTACTAGAATGTTGCAACAAGGATCCCAATTCCATTCCACTATTTTACTTTCATTTTTAACTTGGGAACTTTGGTTATTTTGCCCTAGAGTTCTTGCATTTGTCAATACAGAGCCCAGCATACCATATGCGCTCAAGATGTTGTCTCCCGGGGATCTGGGGCAGGCTGCTACTCTGTATGATTTACCATGTGGGGGAAAAAACTTGGTTCTTTCTAGGTAATTCCTTAAAACATCCATTCTTGAGGGACTGCTTTCTAATCTCATCTAATTTATAACTAGTGTCCCTAAAAGGAGGGAAAGAAAATATTAACATAGGATTGTGCAAAAGATTATTCTATGCTATATGTTTTGAGTTGGTCACAAGGGAGCCACATATTCAGCCTATGCCTGAAAATATCCCAAAAAATAATATTTGACTAAGAAATCAGATCTCTTCACAGGCATAACGTAACATGTATAATTTGTTCTGATGTGTAATATTTGGCAATTGGAGTTCTAGTTCTTAGAGCAGTATCACGAGGGGGTCAAGAGGTCTCCTGGTGCTCAGGTATCAGGCAACAGACTTGAGTTGGTAGCGAGGTGGTTACAAGGGAGAATTAGTCAATTGCCGATCCACTGAGTTTGTGGTCTATTAACTGCATGATTTGGGACCCAAGATTTTTGCTTTTGTATGTGGGGGCGTGCTATTTGTTTTCTTGCCTTACTTGGCTACTTTGGCTGTTTGAGATTAGGTACACACGGGAAAACAGCATGGAATTGAATTGGAAAGCCCTATATTTAAATCTCACCCCACTACTCACAAGAACCTAGACATGTAGTCTTTTGAAAATCACTGAATCTCACTGAGCCTTAGTCTCTCTATCTGTAAAATGGAGATAATAAAACATACTTTGAAGGGGTGTTAACAGAGATGAATAAGATTCAAGTAGACAGAACTCTTGGCATAGGGTATGGCAAATGTTTACAAGTTTTAAAAATGGTAGAGTTTCAAAATTTTACATAAAACTAAAGAGCTAAAAGTCACTCGACCTATTATTTTGTCTGAAATCCTCAAACTGGTTTGATCATTTCATCGAATTTATAAACTTGATCAGGTGTTCTTACATTATGTAACAAGGTTGGCTAATGTCCTTCCCCTGGCTAATGTCTTTGAGTGATTAACAGTTGAGTATTCCTTAAGGGTTTATCTGTTTGACTGATGGCCAACTGTGTGCTTAGGGGAAATGTTAACATATCAAACCAATCCAAAAAGATAAGACTCTTTTTAGTACAGAGAGGGACAAAATCTCTAATGCTGAGATCCTTTCCTAAGATAAGAATTCACTGTGCCTGAGAAAGTGATAAATTGTGCTTATGTTGCTCAGTGGTTGAGTAAATACCTGGCTCATTTAAAAAGCTTCTTTTTGATGTACTAAGGCATCTCCCTCGCGTTATTGAGAAGTCTCAGTCACACAGTTTCTCGCACTCTGACATACAGGGGGGACATTAGTGGTGACACAGAAAGCCTGGGTTGATCAGCCTAATCAGCTACCACCTCTCCACTTTGTTTTTGTCGGGAGAGTCCAGTCAACACAAGCACAGATGCTGGACAGTGTTATAGAAATAGTTACCGGCTGCTGCAGGGTAATGTGCTTACACGCATTTAGAATCACAGAGGGAAGCCAAGTCACTGGTTTTAAATAGCCCACACCGAGTGTGTGCCATGCCCCTCTGTCCCATGCTCTGAGTTCCTATGGAACATTCCAGCCCTTATTTCTAAAAGCAGTTCAGGTTTCAGAAATAACAAAAGGGCGAGTAATCTTGCCCCGTACGTCCTCAGTTAACTCACATTGGCTAACGTCACCGCGGTAGGCTTGTGCCATGCTGATCTTGGGCAGAACTCTCAGGGGTCAAAGTTTGTTTCTGGTAGTGGCCAGTGAGATCTAAGGACTGTGTTCTCCATCCTTCCTGCCCAATGTTCTCTGCTTTGTCCTGCCCTTAAGAGAAGGTTGAAAAGCCCATTTTCACTGAGTAGGAAATAAACGTGAGCTGTACCATGCTCATAACAATTGTGGCGATACATAGATCACAGAAAGTGTCCTTCTGTGGGATAGCACTATCCAGTGCCCTGAAAATCCCACATGGGCTGTCAACCTGATATTGGAACATGAAGACCAGGGGCCACCAGATCAGGCCTAATGAGTTCTAATGGTTCTTGTGACCATGGATCACCAAAGGGTCCCATCATATCCTGTAAAGAGATGAACTTCAGAATCAATTCTGCTTCATGAATGTTCAAAGGATTTCTTACTCTTGATTTCTTACTCTTTTGGAAAGGAAAAAGATATGCCCCATTTCTATCACCCACCTTATTATGGCCCTAAAATGCTTTTTCAGACCTTCTGTAGAAGACATGATGAGAAGTACTTTTTTTGAAATGTCAACCTTGGATATTAAGGAAAACAGACACGATACCTCAAGTTCCACTCAGTGTTTGGGAAAAAATCCTGGTAGGCCATGACTAGCAGTTTCTGTTGGAGAACAAGAAAAAAAAAAAAAAAAACACACTCTGAAAGAAGAAGAGAAAGAATAAAATGATCCAATAAAAACTCATCAGATTAATTGTACAAAACTCCCTTTTCAAAATCTCATTTATGGTTTAGAAAACAATTTAAAAAAACGTTTCTGAAGCAAATGCAATTTTATTCATATTTTTCATATGGCCAGTTTTGAAACCTCACCAATGAGAATGATTATGCATTCTAGTTTGCTCTTAGAGAAAGAGTGGTACTTTCAGTGAATGCAATTTAGAGAAATGTGTTTTCACACATTACAGCCCTGTTCCTTCTCAACTACAGATTGAAATCCCCAGTGAAGCAGGCTCACGTCAGAAGTAAGATTCAAATTTATGAGCTAAAATGTGGCCATGTTGCCATTTGTTTATAACATATTTTAATGAAGTAAGCCCCAGAAGCCCCTAAGAGGGTTCTATTTGCATGAAGCGAATTCCAGGATTAGTTTTACTATCACATTTTTTTAAAAAAATCTGTAGGAATTCAATATGGATATTGTCAGAAAGAAATTCTGGTCTTGTTTGAAACACAGAATTGATCTTTCTAAGGGGAAAATAGTATTGTTTTAGAAAATTCATCCACAATGAATACATAAGAAATTAAAAATTAATAACAAATCGAAAATCAAACAACATGAACAAGAGAAATAATAAGTCCATCTTTATTAGGCTTTAATCATTGGATCCTTCAAAATATTCCTTGATTAGAGAAAAATATCCATGACCTCTCTTACCTTTATAGCAACTACTATCTTTTTCTATTCCTCTTGCATTGCAAGTATAAGAAAAATTTGGTAATCTTCAATGACCACTCAAGCCAAGCTTAACACCTATGAGGGTATTAGAGGAATTTTTAGCTGGTTTATATATAGATGAGCACATTTGGGTTTGTGCCCAGCTGAGGTCCTCATAACAGTGGATTGCAAAAGAAAATTTCAGTCATGAAGACTGTTTTGTCTACATTTTGCCCAGTGATCCATGGATTGATCAACTTTTTTTTTTTTTTTAAGTATTGAGATTGAACCCAAGGGTGCTCTATCACTGAGCCACATCCCCAGTCCCTTTTTAATTTTATTTTATATCTTTGAAACAGGGTCTTACTAAATCACCCAGGCTGACCTTGAACTTTCTATCCTCCTGCCTCAGCCTCCTATGTCTCTGGGATACAGGCATATGCCACCACTCATTAACTAATTCATGTAACTGTGTGAACTAGCTGTGTTTTCTCTGATAGAATGTTTCATCCTCCCTATTATTCAGGCAAAAAAAAACAACAACAAAAAAAAAACTAACAGTTACCAGTCCCTTCTCCCTCATGATCCACTTCCAACTGAACAAGTCCCCTCCTGAACAGCATGAGAATCTGCCTGCTCCTCTTTTCCCTGGCGCTATACAGCATTCACAGTGTCCACACCACCCCTGTGCTTTCGGTTCCCACCCCAGTCATCTCCATTAGCATTACCTTCTAATTCATTCATGGCTCTTGTGCTTGGAAGTCTTTAATGGTTCCCTGGGAACAGGGAGAGTCTGAATACAGGAGTTGGTGTTAATAGCATTCAGCTCCATCCTATCTGTCCAGAGTTAATCACTCCCAACATCTACACTAAACCCCACCTGCCATATACACAAGCTCCATCCATTCTTATCAGACTGAATATCTCACTCTGTGACCTGTTTTTTTCATATTCTGAAGACTTCACTGAGGTCTCTGTACTCTCTGCCATTCATGCCATTCCATTTCTGCTTCTGTCCTGTGTCTGTCATGGAGGATCCTCAGTAGGTTGTGGCCTAGTGATACAACTAGACATTATAAGCCTGGACATGGTTTCCTATATATTCCTACCTGATTTCACATGGACTGACAGGGTGGAGGCCTGTTATTTTCTGGCTTCAAACTTCCTCAGCAGAGAGTTCCAGAACTTCAAAGGCAAAGCATCTCAGTCTTTCCTGAGATCCACTGCTCGATTCTCTTTTTACCTACCCCAACTTCACCTTTAGCCTCCTGTGTTCTAAGTTTGGCCCTGGAGGCTAACTAGCCTCTCTCCTAAAAGGGGTGAATGTTCCCTTTTATCTTGCCCAATGGGACATCCAAAGGAAATATTAGTTAAGCCTCAAGATGAAACAAATTTATTAACACAAAGATAACTTCCTTGTTGACTTATTTGCATCAACTCAGTTAAAACAAGTATTTATTTACTGTGTAGTT